TGAGTAAAAACAAATAACCTGCACGTCGTTGACTCCACCGGAGACGGCCGAGCGACAATGAAAACGTCTCTTCCCTCTCTCGGCTCTGCAGTTTGTAAAAGCTGTATCGTGAAATACCTGCAAACGAGCAAGTATTGTCCGATGTGCAACATCAAAATCCATGAAACGCAGCCTTTACTCAACCTCAAACTGGACCGAGTGATGCAGGACATCGTCTTCAAACTGGTGCCCGGACTACAAGAAAGTACGTAAAGAAAACTAGCGTGAACAAACGCTGGTGACCTAAATCATCGGTTGCAATGAGGTCTAAAACGTGATGTAAATGTTCCTTTGCAGCTGGGACACCCATGTTTCTTTTATTGCGTACTTGTAGATGTGTGCGATTTCTCTGATATCAATATCCGTGTTTCAACAGGCGAAGACAAGAGAATAAAAGAATTCTATCAGTCACGTGGGCTGGAGAGAGTCATCCAGCCGACGGGAGACGGTGAGTCTCGGAGTACCATTCAAGTTGCACTGAGGAGACCAGAGTGTGTTTTCCTAAAGAGTTTCTGTGGTGTTTTGTTTCTGAACTCGACCGACGCTGTTACTCTTGAAACCGATGACCTCAACCTGAAGCCGAATAGGCTAAACATTGCTATTCACAGCTGTGAACCCTGTTAAAGTGAAGAGCGTCCAAACCTAAATCCAAACGTCCTTTATACGTTGCTTTTCTCTCTGTAATTGACTTTTATCTCCCTCTTCTGTCGCGTCCATCTGAAACAATGCGGATTCTTTGCTTCAGTGCCAATTTAATTTGGTCACAAATGTTGTTGTTTTTCTCGTGCCGCACGCAGCTTCAATGAATACATTTTAAAAGCGGTCATAAAGTGGCTGTATGTTGAATCACTCGGTTTTCATCGCCCTTATTTCTAAGTGCTACCTCGGCTGTGTGCTTGCTGGTGGATTGAAATAACTACGTTGCATAGCGCCGTACTTTGCAAGAGAAGGACGCGGTGATTAATTAAGTGTACTTTGTCCTTCTCCCCAGATGCTATACCAGATGCCACAGGTTTACCGTACACGAGCTTCGACCATTCAAAAGCGCATTTCTACAGATACGACGAGCAGGTGTCGCTTTGCTTAGAAAGGCTGAGGTGAGCTTCTTGTTTATCAATCCATACATTGAAACCCTCTTGAGATTCGCCTGATCGAAATGAAATGTGCTGCTCAAGTGTGTCAGATGTCTGTTTCTAAGCTGTACGTTCCATTTCGTCTTCGTAGTTCATCGCTTGCTGGCAAAGACAAGACGAAACTCACTCTTCAGGTAGGTGTGTGTGTGTGTGTGTGTGTGTGTGTGTGTGTGTGTGTGTGTGTGTGTGTGTGTGTGTGTGTGTGTGTGTGTACACGTACGTGGATGCTTTCTTAGCGGCCGGGTTCACAGGTTTGCACAGTCGTGCAGAAAAAAACGACTCCCAGGCCACATTTTTTTTGGATCCCGAAAAAGTAATTTTCCACCCTTAAGTGCTGTGAAAATACCCGGCACAACGACATCTGCAGCAGACTTCTGACCTCTGAGCCGGTTCCTCTGGCTGCCTCGTGCTCACGAGAGACGGCGATAGGTGGGGCGCGCTCACCCACGAGGCATCCAATCACCGAGCTGCTAGTTTCTCAGTAACGGGACTAGTTTGAGAAAACTTGGGACCCCGATGAGCAAAATGTCGACTCAGTTTATGGGGATCAGTGCTGATTTGACTGAGATTTGTATCAACACGAATGTCACTTATCAGTTTATTTATGTCCAACAAACACCAGAAAGGTTAAATTACCACATGTCCACGCAGCTCACTTATGCCTGTCGTTGTACACCCTGCGGAGGCTTCATCCGGCCAGCGGGGGGCACTGTGGTTCTAACATGGGGGGGTGTGAGCAGTACCTCAACTAGCGTCTTGAGTTTAGGCTTTAATAAATATTTCAGTGTGTTTTGTCAAAGATTCTTGAATCTCAGCAGCAATTTAGTCATTTTACTGACAAACCGTTAACGTCTTATTCAATCAAACTAATAAGTAGTTGTTGTTGTTTTTTTAAACTATTAATCATATTTTAAAGTGGGTAAGAATATCCAAAACCTCCATAAATTCACGCAAGCGGTGAAGATTAAAGTGTTTTTGGTGGCATGTTGCTGCTTTTGCTGTATGATGATCATCATCTTTAAAATGTATCGCGGTCTAATGTTTGTGCGAAGTCTGCGTGTCACAGTGCAACACGTGACGCGTTTGCCGCGTGCGTTCCTCCTCCCGTCACGCGGTGCCGCTCACCCCGAGTCTGACGTTTTGTCCCCGCAGCAAAAGTTTGTTCGCTGTTCGGTCCGAGCGGAGGTGAGACATCTACGGAGGGTTCTCTGTCATCGGCTGAACGTGGAAAAGCAACAGGTCGGTCACTCATCCCGTCCGAAGGCATCGTGGGAAACGCTGCGTGTCGTCGCTTCAGGAGACGAGTGACGTCTGTTTGTGTCCCCACAGGTCCAGATGTTGTTCAATAACGAGTCTCTGCCCGATCACATGACCATGAAACGCTTATGGCTGTCGCATTGGTTTGGCAAGGTGAGGTCACGCCACACTCGCCGTTTAGAGAAGCTCGATCAAGTTCGTTGAGACTGTTGTTGATGTTTTTCTATTCTAACATTTTGTAGTGTGACGTGTTGGATTTTACTTTGTGTTTTTTATATATAACTTTGGATTCATTTAGTGCATGTCAATGGTTCCGTGAAGTGTTTCCATCTTACCTGTAATATTTCAATCTTTTCTTCTCAGGCCCAACCGTTAGTTCTTCACTACACCATCAAGGACAAAAGGAGCAGATAGGACACGTTTTCCCTCATAGGACTGCTGTACATATTTTGTATACATACATATTCTATTTTAATAGTGTTTCTGTACATAAACTTATTTTCCTTGTTTTGTATTTTTGAAAAATAAATTTAAAATTGACAAACTAATAGTTTGTATGACTCAGTCACAACGCGGTCGGCTTTAACCTGCATGTTGACAGAGAAAGCCGTGTGTGTGTGCGCGTGTGCGCTTTTGAATAGGTTTCAAAATAAAATAATTTCCTTTTTAAGTCAGTTTTATTTCTACTTCAGTTTGATAGCTGAGTACTTTGGACGTCTCGCCAATAATATTAATCAGTAATAAACGTATTGGTTTATAAGCGTTGCTTTACAAAGTGTGATGAATGACGCCGTGACTCTTCTACCAGCTTCGGTTCTCTGTTAACAGGCAGAAATGTCCCTCATTAGATGACCAATTTCAAACTCCACACCCCCAGTTTTAAAGGCCTCATACAGACGTTGAGTCAGATGGGGGGGCTTTAGGCAGAACACTCCACAATGTGACTCCAGCTCTTTAACTTCCTCTCAGCACCTTCCGTCGCTCTTGGTGAGGAGACAATGCTCCTGGTGGAACACCAGGCGGTGCTCTCGCTGCTCGTCAGCCACCAGGCCCGAGGCGGGGAGACTGCTAACCTGACACGGTTGTGATGGACATAACGCCTGGTATCATATATCGTGTATTCTGTCCCCGCGCTGCAGCAGCATTTCACCAACGCTTTGCATCCAGATTATCCTTTGAGACTCTGAAGAACCAAACACAAAATGGATTTTGATCATTTTGGGGATGTTGTCGGAGGTGGTATTTTGGTTCCACGGTACAGTATCAGTGCTTTGTGTTGGTGTGTCTTAAAGGTCAAAGGCTAGATGGAGTTTAAAGTTTATATAAAAGGCCAAGTGTTCATCGGGCAGCGCAGGTCCATGTTCCTGCAGAGGTGGAAAACCACGTGAATGGAGATAACACGTTTAAAGGGCAGTTGGGGCAGACCTTTTAAAAAAAAATATATATATTTATTCAAATATTTTAAATTTACCAGAGTGCCTGTAGATGTTCCAAATGATGCCCTTGGCAATGTTCACACACGCACACTAGATTTCCCTCATAAAGCGTGAGCCAGTCCCTTAAGGACACTTCATGTTAAAAATAAAGAAATCCCCTAAAGCTGTGACCTTTAGTCTGAAATAGAGAATATGTTCTAGCTGCACCGTTCAGTTGGACTCTCTCTGCACCTTTGGGCATTCATTCTTCTGATAGCATGCAAATAAATTACCTGAATTTACCCCCTCCACGCCAACAAAGGATGCCCTAATGTTGGACAGCTTGTTTGTCTGATTCACCACGGCAGTAATGCCATTTTAAGGAAGATATATATAATATTTAGCTGTAATGGTTAAATCAATCGGCAGGAAAAATAAAGCTATATCTAAATACATTTATTTTTAATCTGACCAAGTTTATATATAGACCTATATATATTAATTTCCAAAATGAAAGAATAGAATAAAACCTGTAAGCTAAAGCCACTGTCAATTTAAAATTAATTTTTGACTAAATAGCAAAGCAAAATGAATTGTTGGCTATATATATATATATATATAGCTGATCATCCTTTGAGAGTATTTATATATATTATAAATAACATATCAAACTTAGAACGAGTTGTATATAATATATAACGAATTGTTGGCTATGACATAGTTGTAAAAGGACCTCCCCCGTTCTCCACTGACTTTTATTTGAATGTCTATCCTCTATGTTGCTGCTGCTCCAGTGGCTCCTTAATAAAAAGGCCTACTTGACTTTTCAACCCTCGTGATTCCAGCCGATTACTTCTATTGTGATGGGCAGCCTGCTTTGGCTTTTCCAAAGAAAAAACTTTCTTTCCTGACGAGCTCTTTAGTTACATTTTAGTCTCAACGTCTGTCTGCACTGTTTTATTTTTTTCAAACGTGTTTGGCCCTAAAAATAATACAATAATTTGAAAAAAGATCGTAGGATTGTGTTATTACGAGATATTTAGAGATTAAATGAATAATTTTCTCTTCCTTTTATAAACCCCAATATAAATAAAAACTCTTCTCTAAATTCAGAATAAAATGAATTAGTTGGGAAACACGACCCTTAAAGAGCGGCTCGTTCTGCTCATTTTAATAGAATTGTATTGTCAAATAACTACGACAACAACTATCTATACTTATGACTTGAGTATAAATATCTCTACCTCCCTCACAAACACACGCACGCGCAACTGTTACAAATGGTCGTCCAACAACAACAACAACAACAACAGCACGTCGCGCTTCCACAGGCCTCCTATTGAGCTTTATTCATTAGGATCCTCACACTGACCATTTGCTATTCATGGGGACTTTTTACTCTCTCTCTCTCTCTCTCTCTCTCTCTCTCTCTCTCTCTCTCTCTCTCTCTCTCTCTCTCTCTCTCTCTCTCTCTCTCTCTCTCTCCAAACAACCCAGAGAGACAGATGCGTGCCCATTATTGCCCGCGGCCCGGTGGAAGCTGTTTTATGGAAGGCAAAGGCGGGTTAACCCAATCAATCATGTCCGCTAGTTGTGTTAAGGACGATTCAGAGGAGGAGGAGGAGGTGGTGGAGGAGGAGGAGGAGGAAGAAAGCATATGGCGCAAGCTTTTCTTAACGAGGCGGCCAGACCGGGACCTTCTTGGGACAAGATGCATTCAAAGCAGGTCGAAAGAATGGGAATAAAGGAATAAAGGCAGCTAATTGAAGGCACGGCACTTCACGGCATAAAGCCGGGGTCAGAAATTCAACAGGGCACTTTTTTTACAAAGCAGTGCGGATTTATGTAGGGGGGGGGGGGGGGGGGGTGTGACGCGTCGACCCCAGGCTGTGTGTGTAAAAAACAAAAGGGTGATTTAAATATTTGGCCGATCGGATTCCTTGAACAGAAGGAACGCGAATAAATGACAAGCAACAATAACTGCACAACTTTCCATCCGTCCACGTAAAAACGTACGTGGAAGAAAAAAAAAATTAAATGTTCACCCTATTTTCATTCTGGCTCGTCAGAAAGGAAACCAGGTAGTCCTCAAATACGGCGGCGGAACCTAAACGACGGACTTTAGGTCCGATTAATAAATTAAATACAGGAGAGAGCGGAGGAGGGAAAACAAATCTTGAATTTTTTTTTAAATGTATATATTCTCCTTTTTTTGATAATATCCGTGCAAAAAAAGTTTGGGATTATAAAAAAGAAATCCCCTTTTTTTTTAATATTCTTTTTAGTTGTTTATGAAAAGCACAGCCCCCCTGACTGTCAGTCGTCCACCTCGATCTCCTCGTCGTCCTCCGAGAACTCATCCGTGGTTTGGTCTCTGGATGAGGAGGGGGACTGTGGGAAGGCCCGGTGTCCTTGCGAGGTCGGGGAGACACTGGGCGACCTGGCCTCGGAGCCCCCGCCGTGGGACTCCTCGATGCTCTCCATGCTGACGAGCTTCTGCAGCGTCTGCGGGTTGATCTTCTTCAGCGACTCCACGTCGGCTTTCATCTCCTCCAGGTCCCGCTTGAGTTTGGCCCTGCGGTTCTGAAACCAGGTGATGACCTGCGCGTTGGAGAGCCCCAGCTGTTGGGCGATCTGGTCCCGGTCGGCCGGTGACAGGTACTTCTGGTACAAGAACCTCTTCTCCAGCTCGTAGATCTGGTGGTTCGTGAAGGCCGTCCGCGACTTTCTCCTCTTCTTCGACGTCTGCCTCTGTCCGAACGCGTTGACATGCTCCCGACCTTCGAGGGGTGGGAGAAGGAAAACACACGAGAAAATCAAACAACCGCAAGGTGACCTATCCACCCCCCTCTCCTCCCTCAAAAATACCCTATAGGCCTTTTCTTGGTTTACATGCTTGTTTTTCTCTTATATAAATGGATTTTTTTCTTCTTTTAAATTTGACTGTACACCTCTTTTAATTAAAAACCGTCACAATTAGAGAAATATTACTGAAAAAGTGTGAAATCATTCAGTAAAAGGGTGAAATTTGCGCCACATTTTGGGCCAAAACAATAATTTTCCACTTTTTGAATGTTCGGGTTGATGTTATTGCAGAAACAGTCATTTTGGTTCACGTCATTTTCCTCCGACATAACTAGAGCACAGGCCGTTCTCCTTGTCTTTTCAACAGCACACTGTTGGACACTTTTGACCCGTGCAACAGATCACTTGCATGCACATTAATGTGCGTGAATCTGTCATTTTCCATTTACGCATTCCTATACAGCCGTCAGAAGCGATTCCACATCTACATCCACAGCAGCCCAGCGATGGCCGCCGTGACTCGGCGTCAGATCAGTTCCATCTATATGTAGAAGTGCGTGAAACCTCTTTACCTTCTGCTGCTTGGATCACGCTGACTTCCAGCCCCTTGAACGTTTTGCTGGCAAGCTCCTCCAGCGCGCACAGCGGTGACGAAGGAGTGGTGATCCCGTTGCGCGCGGAGTTGGAGCCCGCGACTTTCTCCAGCACTCTGGGTGGACAGATACTGGCGACCGACTTCTTGACCGAGGGTTTGTTAAGGATATCCTCGATGCTGAACGGCGTCAGGGGCTTGTTGGAGTTCGCCGGCGGCGGCAGCTGGTCCAGCGGAGCCCGTCTCCTCTCCTCGCCGCCGGAGTGTAACACAGAACCTGCCTTCATGTCTGTACTGGAGGTCATCGCAGTCCCGGAGAATCGCTGCTTCCAGAAAAGTTGATTATTTCATTCAACTCGCGGGTTTGGGACAAACGTGTTCCACGCTCGTTTGTCGCGGAACCCCCCCCCCCCACCCCACCACCCTTCCTAAAGGTTGACGCTCAAAGCCGCAATTTAGCTCGCCTGAGAGCTTTCCTCCAAAAGAACCATGCTCCGGGCGCAGGCGAAAAGGCAGCCGGACTGTATTCCCCTCAGAGAGTCGCAGTTCCTCTGCCAAGCTCCATGTAGATCTTTAGGAAGTAACACACTGGAGGGGGGTGAATCCCTGCAAGGGCACAAAAAAAAAGAAGCTGTCTCAAAAGCACCAAGAAAAAGAAAGCGGCCGCTAACGAGTTATTGTTGATTGGGCGAAGTTCAATTAGAGTAACACTACACTACTCGCTGACCCGCTGCTGCGTCTTAAAGGGCCAGACCATAATAACTAATTGGACGTGGGGGAGAGGAGGAGTCTGTTGCTGCCGAGGAGAAAGATGTGAATGTTTATGCATCTGTTTCCCTCTGCTGGCGTGTTCTGCTAGAAAGGGGGAGCCGATGGCCATTAAAACACCTATTTGCATTATGAGTTTTATATATATATATATATATATATATGGATTAAAAGTTCTGAAGGAAACAGCGAGGCGACAACGCGCTCCAGCCGCGGGGTACATTTGGTCGTTTTCGTGCGTAATTACGCATTGCATGTTGCACTGGATTTTTGGCTTAAGAAACAATAAGATCATCTACGGATCTGAAGTGTATTGAGCTGATTTGCCTACAATTAAACAGAAGCTGTGGAGGTTTAAACCACGTTGTTAAACACCACGGGTTTTGTCCCCCTGTGCGGCAGCAGATGATGATCTCATCTGAAAGCAAAAATGAATTAATTTAAATGATGGCTCGTGTTTATTTTGCACACTGATACAAATATTATATATGTTTATTGTCTGATGATTAAGCCGGGAATTAATATAATATAAACATTTCAGGGTTGAATTCCACTATTCATTTTTGTCCATGCTGTTATTTTTCATGTTGTATTATTTTGTATCGACTCATCATCCGCGCGTTGGCGACCCTGCAGTTACAAGCCCCAGTTACAGCCCTGTGATGTGAAAACAAGCGGATAATAAAGGTTACGCCGCGTGCTGAGGACGGACAAACATGATATATTCACTGGTGAGGCTTTTAGGATGTAAGACAGACACCAACGGGCACCGAGGACAGCAGCAGGAAACACGCCGCGTTTCATTGAAGGCGCCACAAATGCAACACATTCAACCACGTGGGTCCTTCATTCGTTTTAATGCATTTTTGGAAAATGCACATAAAATGTAATCATAACGAAATGTAGAGGAGTAGTGGTTTGAGAAAAATGCAAAGGAGGTGAACACCTTGTATCCTTGAAATAGAACAAAAGCCACCTAACGGTACAATAACATATGAAATTGACTTTACATTTTGGCATCTGAATCATATTCTCTGTGTGCCGACTTGTAATATAAACCAGAGGCTCAATAAAAAATGTGGAATTACTAGGTTCTTTTTTACAATGGGATTATTCTGACCCATTTGCTGCTCAGGAAGCCACTGCGCAGAGCCTTGTGCCAACAGCAGCATATGGTGACATTGGTTTAGGGACAGAGTTATAAAACAGCAGGATTCTATTAGCTACCTTGGAGGTCCACCCTTTGTGGCTGCTTTGAATAAATATTCCTCCATAACAAGCAGGAGTGTTTGGGGATGAATTCAATTTAGGCATTGGGACGGAAACATGGATCGTTGTGATAAAACGGATCATTTCAGCTGGTCTGAGCAGATATGAGCTTGGCTCACCTTGACACCTCAATTCAAACATTAGTTTGAAATGTAAAGGGGATTACAGTACAATGTGTGTTTTTTTTGATGCACATGTTCCACTTACAGAAAGACACACATATAACTTCTAAAAATATATAATAATAATAATTATTTAATACTAGCGTATAGTTTAATTTTAGTTTTCTTTTCTGGACTGGATGTTTGATACACCCGAGTTTCAAATAATAATGTGACATTATCCCTGCAGGCCTCTTGTCATCCACACTGATGATTGTGAGACGGCGCAACAACCTGCTGAGTTTATTTTATTGTCATTTCTACAGCTTGCGTGTCCACAACGATAAAAGTGCACGGGGGCACTGAAGACCATCTGGACTCACGCTGCTGTAGATTATCAACCTCAAATTTAGTTGAAGCATGAATGGCCCTCAGACACCCCCCCCCCCCCCCCACCCCCAACACCCCTCTAAAAGACGGGCCACTGGGTCTTTAAAGTCTGGAGCGAAGGAGCCGTGGGAAGAGGGTTATATTTCCTTGCATTGGTTTAATTTAGACCTATATAAAAGGCGGACTAGGTGGCATCATCAGTCATCAAATCTTGGGGGATTAATTTGAGAATACGCGCCTATCAGAACGCCCCCCCCCCTCTGTTATTCCTAAGAGAGAGCGCTTGCAGGGAATTTGAGAACTATTATAAAACATCCAATATTCCCCCCTAGCGAAGGAGAGTTATACACCCGCCCTCCCCCCTCATCTATAAGAACCACTGGCCCGATGACCAATCAGGAGGCGCCAATGCGCAAAGCGCGTGTCATCCTTTGGTTCCATGAAATCAAAGCAGTGGGAAAAGTGCCACCCGGTAAAGGTCAGCCGAGCTTCCACGTCATTAAGCCCCAGATCCAAATGAGGAGTGGTCCGCAGCGAATATCAAGGAGAGTCTCCACCGGAAGCTGGAAGAAACTTCAATAATAATCCTGAAGATGTCATTTGTTGGAATGCTGTAACGTCACCGATCACTGCTGCAAAAAACACATGCGAGGCCTGTTTAATGTTCTTTAGAGATTATTTTAAATATTAAACAATATAAAAAACAAAAAACAAAATATAAAGACTATGAAATAAAAAATGACGGAGGTCTAGTTATCAATATTTATTCAAATATATACTAAAGGTCTAAATTATGGATTTACGATTATATTTTGTATTTTAAAAAATCCAAGCTACGAACAAGTTTTAATTCAAACGTCCTTTAAATTAAAACACTTTATGCAGTGGACAAATTGTGCTAAATTAGCCTCCAAGTTCGTCATCGAGCTGCTCAAATAATTCCCCATAACAACATTAAAAGCATAAATTAAATTGGAGGACCAAACTGAGTTTACACAAGTCCACAATAAAATCAGTACCTAAAATAAATTCTGTAAAATTGTGTATAATGTAGAGCAATTGTATTCGTGAAATGTATCTTATTTATTGTGGGGTTAATTATTATCTAGTGTACGTGTTTGTGCCGCAATACGCGTCTTTTTGTGTGCGTCGTGCTGTTAGAGAGACAGCTCTCCCAGCGCAGCGTGTCGTCCTTTATTATGAAAGAAAACAGCTGAAACGGCCTCACAGTGGAACATGAAACAGGAGACGGTGGCCCAGAGTGCGATGGCTGTTTGTTTCCAATACGAACCGGCTGGTTTCCACCGTGAAACACACCGCGGCTCAGCCAATTACAGGCCCGGATTAAGCTGTGCGCGTATGAGGCTCCGTGGAATTGATGCTAGATTATTATTCTGTTTTATTAATCAATTCATTTTCAGGAGAAAATACAGTTTATTGTCAAAGTGTTAAATTGCATTGAATCAAATCAATATATTATTATTTTGGCTTAAGACCAAAAAAAACTTCTCGCAGGATAATATTTTGGTGGCTCCATATTTTAGTAAAACGATCAGAAAAAGACGTACCCGTTTATCTTTATTTTCACGAGACGCCTGCGTGCTCACGTTTGTGCTTCACTTTGTGTATTAAGAAACCAACAGTACCAATTCACGAGATAATTCTTTTCAAACTGTCCGCGAACGCACCGTCGCGGCGCTCAGGTGGTCGTCTCCCGCGCAGCTCAGGTCCGTTTGCAGGTGACGTAAGTCACGTCGTCGGTTCTCATTGGCCACCCGCCTCCGTTCAAGGCCTTCTATGACGTCATTCATCCCCAGCGCTCTTTTGTTTCATTAGCTCTCGCGCTCGTGGTCTTCGTGTGTTTCCGGTGTTAATTGGATTTCGGAGGAGAAAGTGTGGCGCAATTACTGTTGATGGACGCGATGTTATCGTGTGATCCCGTCACCGCGCGACGGGCTGCATGTCAATCATTCTGGACACGATGTCGTTTTCTCTTCTTGATTTACCATTTGATCTTTGTTATAACAATAAAGTACAGAGACTTTACTCGATGTGTAGTTTATTTCCCACGTTTGTAGCTTGTAATGAAATTACACCAAAGCTGCAATTAACATTAATAATATCATAATGCATTCATTCATAATGTCAGGGAATCTATAGTTCGAAAAGCAAAGATGTTTTTATTATTATGTCAAACTCAAAGGAAACAAATCTCCACGACTGAGAAGCTTTAAAATAATATGTGGATGATGTTAATTGTTGTTAATTAACTCACCAATCACATCAGCTCTAAATAACCCCCTTTATGTATTGTCTTGGATATCTATTCAAATTAAATATATTTTAACGTGTGCCACTGAAGCACATGAAATATAACAAAATTAAGAGTACTTCAAGATATTACCCTATAAAAAAACAGAGATGTGCTTGAGTCACAATAGCAAAAGAAAATTGGAATATTGACAGATTTTCAAGCTATCTTTCAACATTCAAATGTTCTTACAGTAAGATGTGACAATTACTCACGTTCCTTTCCATTTCTCTTGTTGTTTTTTGCTATTTTTTCATCTCCACTCCTGCACTGAGCCAAGAGGCGAAAATCCAGAAATAAACAAGCTTCCAAGTGTCTCCACCCTGATCACAAAACTACTGATCCGGTCGGCTTCATTGGGCTCACACACACACACACACACACACACACACACACACACACACACGCACACACACACACACACCCGTCTCAGGAGACGGCCGTGCTTGTCCTCGCTGCTCTGTAATGACCCACCGGGGCCCTTTTACCATCACAAAGAAGGATATGTGGAGGCTTTGAGCAGGATTAGAGCGGCATTAAGGCTGAATGCTTCTCCTGTTTGACTCTTGATTAGCTTCATTACAGCACAATTAGCCCGGTGACTGGAGGTACACGCCGCGCAATCTGATACCAGACATTACATGTTCTTAGTGTGTGTGTGGCGTTTGTTGCCCTAAAGACATCTATCCAAGTGGAGGAACTGAAATGACAGCGCACTAATATTGTTCTAATTATGTATTGAAGCAGCGTGACAATCATAGAAAATGAATTCCTCTTGCAAAAAGCTGTCGGTTACTTTTATACCTCGTGGGACGTGTTGATGGAGTCATTTTCATTCTTTATTAGTTTATAATGACCTTACAGATGACCTTGCATATGTAACTAAAAACAATTATTTAAAACTTGTA